TATTTGTTTCCTTGCCCCCTCCTTCCTCCTCTCCCCTCAAAAAACAACCAACCCCTCCACTCCCCCTGTAAATTTCAGACAATGCATTATTAAAAATAAACTCTTTTGGGGAACCTGAAGCCTTCACCCCGGGTTTGTTTTGCTGCAGCCACATTCAGAGGCAGCTCCTGGAGGATTCTCCTCCTTTCCCAAGGCTGGAGCTCTCCTGGAGCTGGTGGGGCAGGGCCTGGACTGGCTGGAGGAGGAAAGCAGCTCCAATTTGTGCCTGGGCAGGAATCTGGCACTGAGAAAATAACGTTGAAAAAGGAATTTGAAAGGCAGGAGGGAGGATTCCCAGGATGGAGGCTGCTGCCTGTTGTTGGTACAGGAGCTCCATTCCCAGTGTGCCCAGGGCAGCCTTTGGGATGGTGCTTTAAGCCAAGCACAGCCCTTGCTCCTCATTCCAGACACAGGGAGCAAGAAGGGTTTGTTGTTGTGTGGTTTTTTTTCCTTTTATTTCCTTGGTTTTGTTCCTTTTCAACAAGACCAGCCCCAGGAAAGCTGCCTGACTCGGGCAGGCAGGACCAGCCCCAGCCATGGCCTCCACACCCTGCAGACTTTGTACACCCTGGGTGTTCAGACCCAAAGGCCTTCTCCTTCCTCCTCCTCTTCCTCCTCCTCCTTCCACTCATTTCCAGCCACCCCCAAGCACCAGGCCCCCTCCTGCCAGCACCCACGACCACTGCACCCTGTCAGGCACCAAAACAGGAACCCCCAAGCTCCGTTTCAGCTCCTGTTAGCTCATTTCCCACCAGCCCTCCCCCCAGGGCTGCTCTGGGGCCAGTTCCTCTCCCTCTGCATGGAGCCCAACTCTCCCAGCCCCACACTGGTCCCCCACTTTCCCCCTCGCAACCTCGACGCTGTCAAACGACAAACCCCACTTCCTCCAAACTCCCCAGCCCTTGGGGGGAGGGTGTCCTGGAGTGTCCCAAGGGCTAGAAGGTGTGGGTGTAGAAGACATCCACGTTGCTGGCGTGGTCCAGGGGCAGGACCTGCCCGATGCTCCGGGCGCCCAACCGGGCTCCTCCCAGCGCCGAGGAGCGTTTCAGCCTCATCAGGCTGAAGCGGGAGAAGAGGTTCCCAGGAGCCTCATCCCGTGCCTGAGACAGCACCCGGATGAACCCTGGGCAGGGGGACACCACGCATAAGGTCAGGGGGTTTTTTGGGGGGCACCCCCAACCCCCCCCCCATTTCCCTGCAGCAGCCTCTGCTCCCCTGCCTGCATCCTGTCCCAGCTGTTCCAGACGGAGCCCACGCAGACGATGGGCAACCCCAGCTCCCCCAGGAACAGGCTCTGCCAGGGGGTCAGGGAGACAAGGGGGTAGG